AAATACAGGCAAACACCTGGCAGAGAGTAGGTTTGCAACAAATGCTTTCCGTTTTCCTTAAAAAAACTGCTTCTGAAATTAGCACTTTTTCAGGTAAGTTGCATTTCTAGCATAATTTCAGGAAAACAGTTTTTTTCATGGTGGGTGATAAAAGTCTTTAAAATTCAATTTAACAGTCTTGAGCCTTTGGTATAAAGCCCTCGATCGTGGAGGTGCACATGCGGTCTCTGCCAGGTGCGTGTTAATGCCGAACTGGAGTCAGCTACTTAGAAGTCGTAAACACAAGTATTTTGTTCTTAAAAGTGAAATTCTGCTAACTAGGATGTTTTAATGGGTTGTTTTGCCTGCGTAACAGTACATTGAACCCATTTCTAGGAGTGTGTTGCTCGCTCTAATATTTCGTGGCAGGACATCTGGCGTCAGAGCGCGGGCTGCCCGAAGGTGGCACACCTGGTGCTGCGGCCGCCTCCCGAGGGGACCCGTGTTAGGTGCTCAGGACGCAGCTGGGTCCACGGCCCCGCCGGGCGCAGCTGAGGAGGCCGCAGCTAAGGAGGGTGTAGAGGGGACTGGCGGTCTCTTCTTCTTTTTTTTTCTTTCCTTTAACATCAGTGTGTGGCTGCCTCTCACATACCCCGCTGGGGACCTGGTCCACAACCCAGGCATGTGCCCCAACTTGGAATCGAGCCAGCAACCCTTTGGTTTGCAGGCCATGCTCAGTGCACTGAGCCACACCAGCCAGGGCTGACGGTCTCTTCTGAGCGGTGAGCTGGGGACTCAGAGTCACACGCACAAACAGCCATGGCGTGAACCTGTTTGCGCTGAAGCATGCTTTTCTCTGGGGCGTGTTTGTGTTTTGTGACTCTGGTGTATAAATGGCTACACGTCGGCAGGATTGCTGTGTAAGAGTCTTGTGAGTGGGGCTGCCCTGGTTATTTTAGGTGCTTCCACTAAGAGTAAGTACGTTCCCCCGGTGGGCGGGAGAGCAGCGCACTGTGATTTGCAGTCCGTGGGGGCTGTGCTGTGGGCAGGAGGGCTTGCTCATTTCAGGGTGTGGGGAGCACGTGGTCAGGCTTGTGCCTCGTGATACAGCTTCCGGTCGGATTGTTTCCCGTGGTTCTAGGCAGGAGGCTGGGGGGAGAGGGACCTGGGGCCGATCATTATCTGTCGAGTCCTATTTCGAAGCGTCAGCTCTACACTCTTCATTCGCCGGTTTGGAAATGGGACCCTCCTGCTCTGTTGCCAGGCGGTGGGGCCTCTGTTTGGGGCCTGTGGGTGCGGAGGGCCTCCAGCCTCTCGGGGTGTTGAGAAGAGAGAGAAGCCCTGTGAGGACAGCCTCGTCTGACGCTCGCTTCCCCGCACAGAAGAGAAGTGAATGCCCGCAGGGCCCAGGGAGCTTGTCCACGGTACCCTTGTGTGGGCGTGAGCATCCGGTAGGCGTCTGTGAGTGGGGGGGTGTGCGTGGGGGGGAACAAGCCGAGAAAGTGCCGGGAACACACAGCGAGAAGCACTTCCCTAGCCTGTTCTTGGACTCGAGGTTGTCGGCGGGTTTAGTTTAGTTTTTCTCTTTTTCTTGGCTTGTTTTAACTTGAGTCTTCTGGAGAGAAAATCACTTAACACTTTTCAGGACCTGACCTTAGGGTGCACGTGGTTGTTACTGATGTACCTCAGAGGCTGTTGTTCACTTGTTCATCCATCTCTCCCTTCACTCATTCGGCGGCTCTCCCTCCGGGGAGCACCCGTCCTGTGCTGAGACCCCACCGGGTCTTCCCGGAGCCTGTCTCCGGCGGTCTCGTGTCTCCTTGTGCTGCTGCCGTGTGCAGACCTGCTCTGGACACCGCCCACCGGCCCTTCCAGCTGCCAGGGCTGGGGCTGCTGTGTTGGTCCCCTCCCCCCAGTCCCAGCCCCTGGGCTCTCTGAGCCACCCCTCTGGGGTGGCAGCTCAGGAGGTGGCTGTGTCTCTGGGCTCTGCCGGCACTTCCTGCCGGGGGAACCCTCCTTTAGCAGGTTCTCCTTCAGTTGGTGCTGCTCCCACTGGGGCCGTCTCCTCGGAGCCCAAACCCTCTCAGTGTCCCACCTGCGGCCCCTGCCTCCCTCTCTTGGGAAACACGTTTTGGCGCGGTCTTTCTCCCCCCTTCCCTCTTCTAGTCTTTTTTCCTTACCCAGCACTGTGGCTGCCACGGGGTAGGAATTGAAGTACCTGGAGAAGCCAGTGGAGGAGGTTTCCCAGAGGCCGGAGGCCTGAACCTCCTCCTGGTGCAGCGCTACGTTTGTTTGTTAGGTCTCCACAGCGAGTCCTCGGAGGAAGCAGAGGCGGGCAGCGGGCGCCGCAGCCCAGGCGGTGCAGGCCCTGCAGTCGCGATCCAGGCCTTCCCTTGCTCTGTCCACAGGGTGGGCGTAGCACACGCTCCCCTTTCCCTTCGCGTCTTCACGTAGGGAGCGAGGTCGGCCAATGTCAGTCCTCCTCTGCGTCTTTGCAGTGCGCCCCGGGGTCCTTCCACGGCCATGCGTGGTAGCAGCGCGCACTCTGTGTGACCAGGGTGGGCCAGTGGTCACTCGGCTTGGGGGGGGGAGGGGAGTCCCCCGCCCCATCCTGGTGCACGCGCTGGGGCAGTGCGTCTCGGAAGGGGGCCCTGGCGGCACGAGGGCTGCACGGTGCGCCTGGTCAACCGAGGTTCACAAAGCAAGGCTGGCTTCTTGCAAGAAGGAAGGATTTCTCTTAAGGAGGAATTTTAATTGGGAGAAAAACATTCTAAAATTATTAGGGTCCAAAATAGTTTCTGTATCCTGTGTACATTAAGAAAAGAATACGCCCGTCCTCAGAAAGGGCTCATTTGGGGAGGAGTCTTCCGTAACATTCCCTTCCACACAGCACTCCCTCCTCCTTGCCCTGAAAACCGCATTGAAAACAGCCTCCATAGAGAACACTGTTCCTCTTCACTTCAGAGTGCAGGTGCGAGCTCCTGCTGGGGGGTGGGTGTGCCTGTGTCTGCGTGCGTGTCCGTCCGTCTGTCTGTTGCAGTCTGCTGGGGCTGCCGCACCCCCTGCCTGCTCCTCTCAGTGGGTGGCGGTGGCCCCCGCTCTGTTCACACAGCGGTGACTGCGCCCTAGCTCTTGTCCTCTCTCTCCTGTGGTCTTGGGTCGTGTTTCACTGTGGATCAGCTGGTGGTTTTACCTCTTTGGTCTTGACCTCAGGCTTTGCTTTCTCTGAGAGCCAACAGTTTGTGTATCTCTGTCTACTTATGATCTTTATCCTGAATTTTATTTAGCCGTTCAGCACATTTTTAAGCAGAGCCCAGTGGCGTGCCTAGTGCAAAGGATACAAGGACAGTCTTTGCCCTCCAGTTGCTGACAGTGCAAAAGACGATTTACACCAGTGTCACGGACGTGTGGGCCAGGCAGCGCGGGGCGGTGGCTCGGGAGTGCGCGGGACTTGAAGGGGAGAGGAGAGGGCAAGCCCCCGCCGGTGGGCTGAACGTAAAGGGCAGGCGGGCGCAGGTTGGCAGGAGTCCACGCGGAGAACAGTGCATCGGTAGCGATGGCGCAGGACCAGACTGGCGCACTCGCGGAGACAGCCCGCCCCTGCGTCGGACCACCATCTGCCTTCGTGGGTGGCCACAGCCTCGCTGACGCCAGACTCGGCCTGTGCTGGGGGCCGTCTGCTTCTGGGTCCCACCAGGTAGCGCCGCTGTCCGCACAGTCTCGTGGGAACTGTCTGTGAACAATGTGGAGGGTGATGGTCCCCACCTCCCAGGGTGGAGGGGCGGGCGGCTCAGCGTGGAGCCCACGCCGGGCACGTGTGAGCACGCGGTGCATGCTGGCTGTGCAGCGTCACGTGCCTCAGAGACTCCCTGCTCCCGCCCATGTGCCTGGTGCGTGTGCTCTGGCCGACCCCGAGTGTCCCTCCCCGTGCCCCCCCCCCCCCCCCCCCCCCCCCGGCTCTCCTCCAGCCCTCCCTGTGCTTTCAGGGTCAGCTCCGCTGCCTTTTCTTTTTTTCTGACTGCTCTAGTTCAAGTGCACCTGAGTTCCTGTAGGGCTCTTTACACCATTTTAGAAATTAGTCTGTTTTGTCTTTTATGGTGTTTCTTTTACGTTGTACACGCAGTACAGTTCACTTTTGTCGTACAGTTCTTTCAGTTCAGACAAATGCTCAGTATCCTGGCACTGCTTTTTGAACAGTTTCCTGAGTGTACGTTATATTTCAACAGACGTACCTTCGGCCCTTGCACACTAACTTGTCTTCCTCGTGCGGCATCTGCTCACTGTGGAGCACACAGTGAGTAACGCTCGGACGCTGGAGCAGAGCCGAAGAGCACGGTGAACTTGAACTGTGCAGAAGCTACCAGCTGCCGTTATTTGATTTCTCTTTGCACTTTCATTTTGTCTGGGTGGAAAATTTCAAATGAAAACTATTCCTGCTTCACTCGTTAAAGTGACTTTGGAGGCTTGCCAGGGCCAATGAAAACTGTTTTTAATTTGTCTTCTTTCTGTTTTTATTATCGAATATTCTTATGGTTTCTATCGTTTTCTAATTCCTTTATTTAAATTTTAATGTGAAACAATTTTATATCTTTCCCCTCCTTAACTATATTATATTTGGCTGTTACGACGTTAAAATTATTAAGTGTGTTTAGTGAGTTTCTCTTTTTTTTTCTTGAATATACTTAAGATATTAAGCAATCCAATTAAAAATGAATCAGTCACACAATGTGAAATGCAAAACCGTGCTGTTTTCCCAACTGTATTTCCCCCGGGCCGGTTTTTCTCTACTCCCGTATTGTACAGAGCGCCTCTGAGCTCAGAGGTCAGTGCAAGGAAGGGCATTGGCACTGGCAGGGCGGGGCTGCCGGCGGCTCACCCTGGGCGCCTGGGGAGTGCTGACCCTCTCCCAGAAAGGGAAAGATGTGTAAGATTTGATTTGCCACCCCCCCCCCCAGCAAGCTTGACTCCTAGTGACGTGACTCCAATGTAACCATGTGTGTCTTTTTCCGCTTCCCCAACAGCTTCCATGCCTATGGCTGTTCTAAATTTGGGCCAAATATATCCATTTCAGAGAGGCTTTTTCTGTCATGACAGCAGCATCCAGTACCCGTTCCATGACGGTACCATCACATCCACTGTCCTCGCCGTGGTGGGGCTTGGTTTACCCATTTTCTCTGTAAGTAAACGCCTGCGCAGGCGGCCATGGGTGTGCTGTGCCGGAGGTGGAGGATGCGGTGGGGTGGGGTGAGTCCTCAGCGCCCGCCACTGGCGTGGACGTGCTGAGCGGGTGCCGGAGGCGCCTGCCTGCGGTTCCAACCAGGGGCAGCTTCTCCAGCTAAAGGGGATGCCCCCCAGAGTAACGGGGGGTCATCCCGAAGAGTTACGGAACGGTTACTCTGGCACGGAAGGGCTCACGTAAGTCACTCGGACCAGCTCTTTTCAGCGAGTGAAGACACTTGCTACGCCCAGTGAGCTATTGTGTGCTTGGTAAATAATGTAAAGCGAAGGTTGTGCTGGTATCATCATGTCGTTAAGTGGAACTCGAGGCCACCATGAAGGAGACGGGTTTTATCCATCAAACCTGAGAAGACAGCTCTGCAGAAAGGCTGTGAGCAGGTGCGCAGAGCGAGTCCACAGGTGCCTGGCACGGTGTCACTGCTTCCTGGTGGCCCTGCCCTTCCGCGGTCCCAGTCTGCAGGGTTGCTTTGGGTTTCGTTGCTTTAGGTAACGTTTCACCAGTAGGTTCATAGGATGTTGTCTTAACCTACTTCCTTTATCCTTGGCGCTGACTCCCAGCCAAGCCAAACTGAGCCTGCGGTGTGACTCGGAAATGGAGGACAAGGAGCCCAGAGAAGACTCGGCCCCTCGAGGGCTTGGGGGCGCGGCCGGCCTGCTGTGCTTCTCCTCGGCCCGGCCCCTGCCAGCTGTCTTCCCCCGGGAGAGAGTCAGCTTAACATTCTTGTCTCAGCAAACTCGGCCGCCTCATTTCCACAGCAGGGCGGGCAGGTCCTTCCTTTCCCTGTTTTGCCCCCAAATTGTCTCTGAATAATAACCCGACCCTGCGGACTCCTAGTTCACAGTCTGTTGTCTGTAGCAGAGTTTTCCTGGTCGTGGGCACCGTGTCCTGACGGTGAAGGCAGCTTGTGGTTTGTGAGGTTCCACGGTCTAAGTGTTTTCATCTGTAGTACATACATTCTAATTTGAGTGTAACCACTTGCATAGGAGTAAAAAGGGAGAAAAATCTGGGATTTGATTTTAGACACTATTTACTCTTTTCCTAAGAAGTGAGCGCTTCCACTGTAACTGGTAGCTTCTCTTCCAGCTGGTGAACCGGTGCAGACGCCCAGGCCCGCCCTGTAGGAAGCAAGGCAAAAGAAAAGTTAAATTATAAAAAGAATACATATTTATTAATGGATTTAAAGGTATCTGTTACAAAGGGACAAGGAAGAAGTCACCCTTAGTTCTACTACTTGAAGACAACTACTGTTCTGATATTATTTCTTTTAGTTGGGCAGTTTTTTATATCATTATGAGTGTACTGCAAATTCAGTTTTATGCCTTGTCTTCTTACAACAAGTATTTTTGAGTTATTATAAACACAAAAACAGCTGAAACTAAGAAAAACACCAACTTCTGGTCCAGATGGCGGCATGGGTAGACGCTGCCCTCGCCTCCTCCCACAACCGCGTCAGAATGACGACTGAACGACAGGGCAGCCACCGTGCGGGGCCGCCTGGGGTCGGGCTGCTTGAAGCCCGACAGCTGCAGCGTTAAAGAGGCCGCCGCAGCGGTGCCGTAGAAGGGTAGAGACACAAAACAGGGCAACCAGCCCCACACCCACGCGTGCAGGAGAGTTGGGAGGGACATCTTGGCTGTGGAGGGGCCCCCTGAGGAGCAAGGGATCCCAGCCCACACCGGGCCCCCCAGGGTTCCAGGGCCAGGAAGAGAAACCCTGGTAACTTCTGGCTGTAAAGACCCGCGGGGATCGATGCTGAGGAGGATGGAAGCTTCCGGAGTCCCAGGCCGTTCCCTTTAAAGAGCCCACGCACAGACTCACTTGGACTCACTGCCTCCGCTCCATCTACTGCAGCGGCAGCAGCTTGAGAGGCACCAGAGACACAGGGAGGGACCGAGTTGCCCAGCACCAGGGTGAGAGCTGAGGCGGGGGCAGCTTTCCCCCAGACGGGAGCGCAGGCCGGGGCTCCTCCTCCTCGGATGAGCCTCCTGACCCAGCGCTGGCAGACAGGCGCCACATCTGAGTCTCCATCAACCTGTTCACCCGCCCTGGGGGTTCCCCGAGGCCCCGCCCGCTCAACTTCCAGGCCCACCCATGTGGTCTCCAGTGGCAGGAAGGCCTGCCATCACGCAGGCGCCCCCCGGCTCCGGCGCTGACCACCACCGACTCTGTGGGCTCAAGGCAGCGACACCACCCGTAGTTCGCCTGTCAGCTGCAGTGTGAGTGTCCCCAGGCACCGCACTTGGCCCAGTGGGCCGCGCCTCCAGGAGTGCCCATGACCCCTCCCCCCCCAGCCTGCCCTCGCCTCAGGGGCCTGCTGCAGTCTGGGGGCTTCTTGCTTAGACAGGGCTGTGCAGGCCCAGCAAGGTCAAGGTCGAAGCCTATGTGAGAAGAGGACTCAGAGGAGCCCAACTAAAATCTGGTTGAAGAGAGGCTGTGACGGTTCATGTCGTCGATGATGAACTCCGTCCTCAGCCTGTGTCGTGTGTGCCGGTGTTGGCCCGGGGTCGGGGACTCTGTGAACACGTGTCAGTGTGTAGCACGCTTGCACCTGAAGTTCACTCAGGAAGCCCTGCCGCGTCGCCGCTATTGGAGGTGACCTCCGCTCCCGGGCGCGCGCCGTTCCTGTTTCCATTCGACGTGGCTGCTGTGCTGCCTTTGCCACGTTCCACCCCAGTGGGCACAAGGTGACAAGCTCCATGGGGTCCCAGTGGGCCGTCTGCTCACCATCATGTCCTGAGTGCCTGCCGACCGCAGTGCTGGGCATGTAACAGGTGCTTAATAAATACAGAAGGAAAGGTGAACTGGAACACACATCCGATAAAGGATTTGTATCCAAAATATGAAAAGAGCTTTTGAAACTCAACAATTAGAAACCACACAGCCCAACAAAAAGTGGGGGACGATCGGACAGACAGACACCTCACCAAAGATACACAGGGGCAGGTAAGCACATGCAAAGGTGCCCAATGGCAGGTACTCTGCCCAAAGGCAGGTACGCTGTAGGGAATTGTAAGTTAATCCAGTGATGAGGCGCTACTGCCACTCACCGATCAGAGTGGCTAAAATCCGAAACACTGACAACAGCAAGTGCTGACGCGGGCGTGGGGCAGCAGCAGGCCTCACTCCTTCCTGGTGGGGGCGGCCCTTTGGAAGACAGTCTGGCGGTGTCTGTCAGAAGTGACACAGGGCCAGCATGTGTGCCCGCAGTCGTGCTCGCAGCCACTGACCCAGGCGAGCTGGACACTGACTTCCACCCAGACGGCAACCCGTGGTGTTTCCTGCGCTTTATTCTCCATCACCGAAACTTGCACGCTGCTGCGGTGCCCTTCGCTTGGTGATGGATAAACTGTGGTCCATCTGGATGTTGGGGCATCACTTGGCACTAAAAGGAATTGAGCTATCGAGCCATGAAAGGACAGGGAGGAACTTGAAATGCCTGTTGCCAAGTGGAAGAAGCCAGTCTGAAAAGGCGTCACACCGTGTGATTCCGGCTCTGTGCCATCCTGGAAAAGGCAGAACCATGGAGACAGGGACAGGCCAGTGGTGGCTGGGGGTCAGCAGGGGGACTGAGGAGGGACAGGACGTGGGTCACAGAGGACTTAGAGGACTGTCGGTGTGGCCCTGGAATGGCAGACGCAGGGTGGTGCTTGTCAGGACCCCCAGGCTGGTGCTCCAGCGAGAGCCCGGGCTCCCCACTCACAAAAGGTGTTCACAGTGGGCAGCGATGGGTGGAGGTTGTGAGGTGGAATTGGTCTTTTACTTTTGGCACAGTTTTTTAAGTAAACCTAAGGCTTTTTAAAAATAAAGTATTAATTTTTGAAAATTAGGAAAAGTTTGCTCCTGAAGTCTGGTGAGATGTCAGCGTGCTTTGTGTGAATAGCGGTCGTTAAGGTGACTGCAAGTGGTCCTCACGGTGGGTGAGTGGTCACACATTCGTTGCTGGAGATTAGATTACCTCATCAGGTGTGAAAAGTAAAGTTTCAAGGCTGTGATTCATGTAATTTATTTATTCATGAACTCATTTTACAAGGGTGTTTGTTTTTACCTGTGACTGTGGGTTCTTACTAAAGGAGAGGAAGACAAAAGGGATTGATCGTTTAGTAACTAGAACACACCTTTCATTTAGAGACGTAATCTTGCACAATAGCGCTTACAAATTCAGTGCCAGTTTTCAGTTTTATAATGGAAAACAACAAACAAGGAACCAAAATATTGTGGCACTTAACAGCCCCATAGTTAGGAAAATACAGGCGTGGGAGGTAGTTACGTAAGGGGCCATTGCTGTTTAAAGTTTTATTGTGCAATAGCCCTTTAATACACTGAGCACTTTTTGGGTTTCTGAGTAACAGTAGGTTAAACTCAGAAGCATCTTTTAACAGTGAAGATTTTATCTGAATACAGGCTCATAGTCGATTATCCATCCAAACTCGGAGTCAGAAAAGTGGAGTTTTGAAAGGGCAAGCAGTTTATTTCTGTGCCTTGTGTGGCGCCCTCCGGGGAGCCCAGGGTAGCAGCCCATCGGGAGACACGAGTGCGCACTCGGCCGCCTGGGACCCATCAGGGTGGGGGGCCAGTACAGGCAGGCCGTCCCTCCCTTTGGCCAGGGCCGTGTGCCACTCGCGGAGCTGGGCTCGGGCTCGGCACCGAGTGCTCTGAAAGAACCAGGGTTTTGAAGGCTTTGGGTCTTAGAATAGGGGGTTACGGGCCTTCGAGTGAAAGCTGATTTAGGATTATTTAACTGCTTATTCATGGAACGTGGTTGCTTTACACAGATACTAGAAAACCCCGTCCCTGCTCTGTGTCCAGGAGGGGACCGCTGGTTAGAAGTGTGAGCTGAGAACTGGGGGGCAGGGGCTGCAGGAAGCAAGCGGCCCAGGGACTGGAGTGCCGCCTTCGTTGGCAGTGTGCGGGCGAGCAGAGACAGTGTCCTGGGAGGG